CTAACATCAAGAACATAAGAATGGCCATACTGGGTCAAACAAAAGGTCCATCTAGCCCAATATCCTGTCTTCCAACAGTGGCTGATGCCAGGTGCCCCAGAGAGAATGAACAGAACAGGTAATCATCAAGTGATCCATCCCTTGTCGCCCATTCCCAGCTTCTGGCAAACAGAGTCTAGGGACACCATCCCTGCCCATCCTGGCTAATAGCCATTGATGGACCTATCCCCTATGAACTTATCTCGTTATTTTTTGAACCCTGTTATAGTCTTGGCCTTCACAACATCGTCTGGCAAAGAGTTCCAACGACTGACTGTGCATTGTGTGAAAAAATACTTCCTTTTGTTCGTTTTAAACCTGCTGCCTAATAATTTCATTTGGTGACCCCTAGTTCTTGTGTTATAAGAAGAAGTAATAACACTTCCTTATTTACTTTCTCCACACCAGTCATGATTTTATAGACCTCAATCATATCCCCCCTTAGTCATCTCTTTTCTAAGCTGAAAAGTCCCAGTCTTATGAATTGCTCCTTCAAGGGAAGCTGTTCCATACCCCTAATCATTTTTGTTGCCCTTTTTCTGAATCTTTTCCAGTTCCAATATATCTTTTTTGAAATGGGGCGACCACATCTGAATGCAGTATTCAGAATGTGGGTGTACCATGGTTTTATATAGAACGAGTATGATTATTACCTATCCCTTTCTCAGTGATTCCCAACATTCTGTTTGCTTTTTTGACTGCCGCTGTCCATTGAGTGGATGTTTTCAGAGACCTATCCACAATGACTCCAAGATCTCTTTCTTGAGTGGTAACAGCTAATTTACACCCCATCATTTTATATGTATAGTTGGGATTATGTTTTCCAATGTGCATTACTTTGTATTTATGAACATTGAATTTCATCTGCCATTTTGTTGCCCAGTCACCCAGTTTTGAGAGATCCTTTTGTAGCTCTTCGTTGTCTGCCTGAGACTTAACTATCTTGAGTAGTTTTGTACCATCTGCAAATTTTGCCACCTCACTGTTTACCCCTTTTTCCAGATCATTTCTGAATATGTTGAACAGGACTGGTCCCAGTACAGACCGCCTGGGGACACTGCTATTTACCTCTTTCCAATCTGAAAACCGAGCATTTATTCCTTCCCTTTGTTTCCTATCTTTTAACCAGTTACCAGTCCATGAGAGAACCTTCCCTTTTATCCCATGACTGCTTACTTTGCTTAGAATTTTTGGAGGAGGAGAAAGACCTGGGTGTATTGGTTGATGGCACGACGACTAGGAGCAGCCCAATATTATGCAGCTATGAAAAAGGCTAATGTCTAAGAAAGATGAATTCAAACTGGAACAGGTGCAGAGAAGGGCTACAAGGATGATCATAGCAATGGAGAAGAGACTCAAAGAGCTTGGGTTGTTTAGTCTAACCAAATGAGGGCTGAGGGGAAATACGATTACTCTCTATAAATACATCAAAGGGATAAAAACCAGGGAGGAAGAGGAGTTATTTAAGCTAAGTGCCAATGCTGACACATGGATGTAAAGTGGCCATCGACAATTTTAGGCTTGAAATTAGATGAAGGGCTCTCACTATCAGAGGAGTGAAGTTCTGGAACAGCTGTCTAAGGGAAGCAGTGGGGGCAAAAAACCTAACTTGCTTTAAGACTGAGCTTGATAAGTTTATGGAGGGGATGGTATGATAAGACTACAATGGTATATGGCCCACCTGCGACTGCTAGTAGCAAATATCCCCAGTGGCTGGAGATAGGACAGAGCTGGGGTGGGTTCTGAATGACTACAGAGAATTCTTTCCCAGGTGTCTGACTGGTTGGTCTTGCTGACATGCTCAGTGTCCAACTGATCATATTTGGAGTTGGGAAGGAATTTTCCCCCAGCTCAGATTGACAGAGACCCTGGGGGTTTTTGCCTTCCTCTGCAGCATGGGTCACGGGTCACTTGCTGTTTTAAATTAGCGTAAATGTCGGAATCTCTTTAACTTAAAGTCTTTAAATCATGATTTGAGGACTTCAGTAATTCAGCCAGAGGTTATGGGTCTGTTACAGGAGTGGGTGGGCAAGGTTCTGCGGCCGGCAATATGGAAGTCAGACTAAATGATCATAATGGCTCCTTTCGGCCTTAAAGTCTATGAATCTCTCTCTCCTCCTATGGAGGCTGTTCCATGTCCCTAATAATTTTTGTTGCTGTTTTCGGTACTTTTTCTCTTCCAATTCCAGGGAGAAGAGAAAAAAAATACAAATACAAATTGAGTAGGGGAGCCCATCTGTGGAGTAAGGATTGAGTAATAATAGAAAAGAAACTAAATATGATGTTGCAGTGCAATACCATTGGAAAAGAGTCATTGTTGAAATAATGTATTTGTATGTATACTTTAAAGTGAACTGAGAGCACTTTATTTCTGAATTAAAGCATCCACACAGAGGTTTAATACACTTTAAATTTAGTCAAATGTAGTCGATTCAGCTTACCTTTTGTGAATATTCCCATATAGAGGGGCCTTCAGTATAAATGGAGAAGAGAAGGATGGGGTATTGTATGGTACCTAAGATCATTCTCAATCCCAGGAAACCCCTTAAGGATAGAGAGAACCTGAATTCATAGCTTCATTGCTTCTCTTGGTTGGAGGTCAGAAACTTAATGTTATTCCAGCATAGGTATTTTTATTTCATATAACATCAGGTTGTCTTTTTGTTTTGTATGTCTGGCTCCCTTACAATAACCAGACTGACTGTTCTTTGAAGCTTGTTGTTGGAAGTGTGCGAAGCAGAAAGAATATAAGTAGATTAGTCTTCATAGCCTTTTACGTCCTGTATCTACAAATATGTGGGGCTCTTCCAACTTTCCAGTGTGTTTATTTTAATAGCTCTAATAATAATTTATCTAACATTCATATGTAGCCATCAATTGTATAACTTAATGACTCTACTACAGCCTGCTGTAACTTATATGAACAAATACTAAATAAAAATGTATTGTTACAGGAATATCTGGTATGGTTATACATGAGTTATTTTGGCAAAGAGACTTTTTGTCCCTTTCAATTAAGGGATTCTATGTGAATGATATTACTAAAGATAAGAGATCAGTGATATATATGTATTTTATCTGTATTTTTTTGGAAAGATTATCAAGGGTTTTTCAAGAGGAACTTTAAGGAGCAAAGGTAGTTAAATGTATTTTTGGATTAAATGTGTTTCACTACACTGTCTGTTGGTAGTCAGAAGGCAGGAATTAACATGAAATGCTCTGACCTAGCTGTGTGACCAAGGCAGCCTTGTCCTTACTTTAAAGCTATAAAAGGGTATCTTTATTATGATATCGTACAGTATATTGGGAAATAAAGACTGGGGGAAGTATTTGTACAAATAATATCTATGAGTTCAATGAAGCCCGGTGCTTGTTATTGGAAACATTATGGTTTAATGACTTTTTTGTGCTTCATTTGATGAGCTGTCATAGAAAAACATTTTGAAGTAATAAAGCATCCATTTGGCTCCTAACAAATGAGAGAAGATGTGCTCTTTGCATTAACTCTTAGTCAGGAAGAGAAGTGGACAGATGTTAATAAGTCTTATCAAAAAAAGGGTGGGGAAGACTGAAGGAAATAGAAAACAGAGTGGAGTCCTTCAGTTTCATGTGCAGCTTGTATATTTAAAAAAAAAAAAGCTTAAAGGTTTGTGCTGCCCTTCCATGTGACTTGTAGTCTGCTGTGTTTCAGTTAGGTTGCTTGTCAGATATATTAAAGTGCAGTTCAGCTTAATGAAGAACTGCATAGCACAAACCAGGAGCAGAGGCTATCTCGTGGTGACCGGGTGAGTAAAAACAGTTGTAAATAATTACTTACTAATGTATGTATTGTAAATGTTACAAGAACATTATAACACCATGAGAGAAAATTAACAGTTTTCCTGTGGTTTATGCCTTCGCTTTACTTAGATAATTTCCAAATGTAGGCAATATGGACAATGAAATACATGTTCAGACTGAACAAGGTTTTATTTTTATTTTTTAATTTTTGCAGAAGAAGCAAATGACTCTTCTTCCTTTGGCTACTTAGATTTTTATTTTAAATTCCTTCATTGTTCTCAAAGCAACTACAATATCTATTTTAGTGTGGTGCTCAAAATAATTTCTGTGGGAGTTAGCTGATAGTTTTTGGTGCCTTTCTGTTATTTTTAATTGTTTATCTACTAGTGGGGGAAGAAAAAAACACCTTTACTCTGAATCTCCAAGATTCAGCAGTCTTCAGATTTCAAGATGAATACAGTCTCTAAGATCTAAATCCAGACTACTGAACCCTGCACAACATCAACCTGTTCCAAGAGCGCACTGAAGCTCTGCATAGGCACCATTGCATAGGGTTTGAACTGTTTGTTTTTTGCTCTGTCTCTTTTGATTATACAGCTTGTGTAGGTGTATTCCTATATTAACTCATAAATCAAGTTTTTATATTTGATTACAATAATTATGTAAATACAATGTCATCACCAATGTTGAAATGAGAAATGCGCAGAATGTTTATGAATCTCCGGCTTTTGTGTATCAGTATGATTTGTCTTCGCCTACAGTAATTATAGACTTTGCAGTTGCTATAATGTTGTTATGAAACAGAACTGACATCTGTTTAAAATAATTTATGGAAAGATTTATTAGCAATTTTAGAGCTTTGCAGGGAGTTTTACATTTAAATATGGATAAAGAGCTGAAAAAGAGACATAATTAATACATTTTTTTTAAAGCCCATGTGAAAGCCTGATACAAAACCTGGGAATTTAAAATGAGAAAAGTTCACTTTGCCATTTTAAGACAGTGATTTAAAAAAAACCACAACTCATTGATATTCAAGGTTTTCATTATCATATAGTTTTAGGGTATGCATTTCACTTGCATTATCAGAGAGAAAAAATTGGCTTGTCAGATGTTACATTCTGTAACGATCTCTCCTATCTATGAAATTCAGAATCATTACATTGAGAAGTCTTTTTCAGATAATCACTCCATTCCGGAGGCTAATATTGTGTGCTGAGAACAGAAAAGAGATGGAGGACTGGATCAGCTCACTGAAGTCTGTACAGTCTAGAGAACATTATGAGGTAAGATAATATCCCTTTCAGTGCATGTTGTTCTTCTTTCAGGATAAATATTGATTTAATATACCAAGCTCTATGGTATGCAGAACCCAAGACATACAGTCTTGTGGAGTGTGAAAAACCTGTAAGGTTAAAATGCAGTTTCGTGTTAAACCTTTATTTTACCAGTACAATTCATGCTACTATGGCTCTTGGTTTTGAGAGAGCTTTTAGTCTCCTTTACTTCTCCACATTGAATTTTCCAGCATAAATATGGAACTCCTAAGTACTTGCAGTTTCTGTAGCTGTGTTCTGTACTTGCAAATTTGTCTTAACTTCTCCCTTACTAGACCGCACAGTTTAATGTGGAACATTTCTCAGGGATGCATAACTGGTACGCCTGCTCCCATGCCCGACCTACCTTCTGTAATGTGTGCAGAGAAAGCCTCTCTGGAGTTACTTCTCATGGCCTGTCTTGTGAAGGTAAAGTCAACATATTTTTCCTTACAATGTCCCATAAGCTAATAAAAAATTAAGTCTAAGTCTAAGTACTGAAAATGTTATGGAGTAAGAAGAAACCTACTCATTGCTATAGAAAGGAACCTTTCTGTTGGTTAGAATAAATGCGAACAATATGACACGCATTATTCACACTCTGGACGTTATTTTCTAGTTCATGTCAATATAAAAGGTTCCTCCTGCTACAAATACCGTTTTGTTTTTTTTTGTATGTGCTTGCCTGAGTGTAAGGTTTTTGAGAAGATGGGATTACTTTGATTTGCACTTTAAACATGATGTGGAGCAAAAGTGCAACATTTTCTTTCCTCTATTTTCAGAATTGTTATAGCATTCCTTTAAAAGAAAAGAGGAAAAAATAAAAATATTGTTAGTCTCTCATCGGCAAAAATCTGGAACAACAGTTAACTCCTTAGTTGGGTCCATGACCTTATTTCTTCCGAGTTTTTGTCTGATTTGCTGCTCTCTTGCTGCTGACTGATATTGTAGTACAGGCAGGGAGGGTAAAATGTGCTTCTTCACTGGTCATATAATAGAAAAAAAATGATTTATATGTTTTTCATAATTTGATTATTAAAGAGCTAATATCCAACATAAATAAAAAATGGGATGGGTCTAAATGTTCACTGTTAAACTAGAGTGCAGGAATTATCTAGTACAGGCACATTTCTATAATAACCTTGAAAATATTCAGTTTTATTTTATCATTTATTGGCTTTCCACTGTAACTTCTGTGAAAACTTCAGTGATATGTCTACCTTGTTTCCTGGAATGTGGCAGTAAATTAAGTGTCATATATGTCCTTATGGAATATATATGACATTTACACACACGTTTTGGTATTGCTTTTTCACTGGGAAGAAAACTATGTTCTAAATACTCTTTATAATAATGGTTAGACCTGTAATTACAAAATAGTTAACTGCCCAGCAAACTCTTGCTGCTGTATAATAATGTAAATATGGTAATCAGTTATTACACGGTATATTATACAGAAATAGATTTTAAATTATATGTTACCTAACTACCTATAGAATTCTGTTCCTGTTATCTGTACTCAGTGCTACATAGCTAGTAAACTGTGCTAAATCCAGTGTCAGGTCCCTGTCCTTTAGTATTCACCATCTGAAGGCATCCAGTGGGGTGAAACTGTCTGAGGACATTGTTATGAATATATATGTAAACCCCAAGGGGATTCCCTAGATTCTTGGGGCTCTGTGTGCTGGTAGCTCAGGGAGAGGCACACTGTCACTGGTAGGAAAGGGAAGACAAGGGCAGACTCAGAGTTTGCTCAGCACCCAGTAGGGAGTGAGATGCCCTTCCCTGGGAGCTCAGGAGAGGGAAGCATTTTTGGAGCAGTTTGGGCCAGTCAGGGAAAGGGTAGGACTGGCTGGGGGAAGGGGCTGGTGAGTCCCAGGCCTGCTTGCAGGGTTCAGTCTCCTCTTCAATTTGTCTAACTTGGGTACATTACTGAGTATGAAGTGGTGTTCAGGGTCGGCTCCCTCCAGCTCACACCAAGTTACTTCTCGTAATCCATACTGGGAATTTACTCATTTTTCCTGGGAAATCAGCAGGGGTAAATGTAAGGTCTGAGTTTAAAAGACAGGATCCTTCCTGGCAGGGTCACCAGGGCAGCTTGGGAGGTCACCAGCACACAGAGCTCCAGGAATATGGGTAATCTCCCTGGGGGTTGCGTATATCACAGAAGTTAGTGATGGTGTAGCTGACTCCCACAGTCACTGCTGTTTATCATTTCCCATTTAATTTCCCTAGTCATTCAGATAGTTTTCAGTCATTCATGAAGTTTTTAGGGGACGCAATATCTAATGCTTAATCAGAATTCAAATATATTGCATCTACTATGTCCCCTTTAAGAGCTAATATTCTACTTATTTAATAAAAAAGAGTAAGTTTTTTCTAGCAAGAATTATTTTTTGTAAGCTCATGTATTTCTCCTATACTCCATGATTCGGTGATTTCAACTTTTGTAGTCCATTGTCCTCTAGCTGTTAAGTACCTTTGTTTTTTGCTTCTTAATGTTCTTATAGTTAGCTAGGACTGGCTGTTACATTTACATCAATGTAATTGCCAGGATCGCTCTTTTTTCCCTTTTTGAAAATTAATATTACTTTTATTTTAGTTTTCGGTTACTTCTCAATTTCTTCATGATTTTTAGGTCTAATTCTTAGTGGTAGAGTAATTTGTTTCTGAATGTCCTTTGGATTCTAGAATGTATATAATCTGGACAGGTTTATGTATGTATATTCAACTATTCTTTCACCAGTTTCACCTGTTCTTAATTTATATTTACAGAGTCTTCCTTCCTTTCTAATCATTCAAATATAATTTAATCTTATTGAGGGCAAATTTCATAAAAGGAGTATCTCAGCTAGTCATTAAATTAATCTTCCTAATTTATCTATGGATTGACTCTCTTTTTAGTATTGCAGTATTTCCACCTCATCTCCTGATATTGTATACCTGTAAAAGCCACAGTTAATCCCCTTTAATTTATTTGGCTAACAAGCTCATTTTGGTTGTTTGCTTTCCTGGACTTTCTTTGTAAGTCCTACATGACTAAGTCCTTGCTTTGTTGTCTCCCTTGTTTGTTTCCAGAACATTTTTTTAAAATCTGATGTTGCTTGAGCTGTCCTTTGTAATACCATGTTGGCCATTTCTTGTACTACACAGTCTTTTTATCAGAGGTAATGTAGGAGGTATGATGTCTTTTAGGAGTAACCCAGAAATCTTCAATGCCACTTCTTCCCATTACATCTTACTCGCTTGTTTCTTTTAATTTGCTAAAATGGTCATGCGTGAAATTTGACACCCATGTACTTCTGTATAATTTCTATTATACCTAATAATCATTTCTATGCTAAATTCAATTAGTGCATGGTCACTGGTTCCAGGCTTCCCTGTTGTTCACATGTACTCAGTGATTTTCTCCTTATCAGTAGATCCAGGATGTCTTCCTTCTTGTTGGTGTTTCTGCTTTCTGGCACATGAATTGTCTTTTGTGTAACTTAGATTGTTTGTATTCTTTGATTCATGGTTAGCTGTATTTGTTACCTTGTAGCTAAACAAAATTCTCTCAATTAGTATCTTGCAGCTTAAAAACTTTTGAGAAATGGTCCAGTAATATTTCATTCCCTCCAGTCCTGCTGGTCTGAAGGTGTTTTTTTCCTCTTTGTTTAATTGTAGCTCATAATTATTTCTGCGATACAGTGCTATTCCTCCAGTTTTTCTTTCCTTTTTATCTCTAAGTACACTATCTACCGTTATCAGAATCATCCCACTAAATGTGATGCCAACAAGTCCAGATTTGCATCTAGCTGGTGTGAATAACATCCTGATTCCTATTGCATTTGTGCACAGACATTAGTAATACAGAAAAATTCATGATGTGCCTTGCTTTGAAATTCCATGCAGAATAATTTGAGTTAAGTGAAATTCTCATTCCCCATCCCTTCCAAACTTCTCTTTCCCTCAAAGTTGTGAAGTCTGCCTTATTTAGGAGTCTTGAATTTAGGAGGCTGGTTAAGTGTAGAGACAGTTTTCAGACAAAGAACCATAATAACCCACAGAACCCTAAGAATGCTCCTTGGCCTCAGTCACTCACCACTAATAAGTTTAGTATTTATTGGTGCTTCTGTACTCCTGTCCATATCACTTTCTAAGGAATATTGCTCTTATGTGTATTCTGAATACAAATAGAGTAAACTCAACCCAGGTTTAGTTCTGAATATAGCATTATAGAGAGAGTCGATAAATTTTTCATAACAGAGCTAACATTGACAATTCAATGTCAGTCATATCTGGTAAGTTAAAGACTTCAGTGCAAATGAGACACTTTCAACCTTATTTCTTACACACACAAATTACATTAACATTTTTAGGTTGCAAAGTCAAACAATCAAAAGTTAGGAAATGTCAGAATTAAGGTTGTCTGTGCAACCTTAATCCATCCCCCTGGTGGTACCTGTGTATTATGAGACTGTCTTCAGTTACATAATCACACATTTTTTCCATAGGACCCTTACCTCATTCAGTGAACACGGTGGACCTCCTCTGAGGACGAATAAGGATTTTGTTGTGTAGGAGGCTGTGGGTGGTAGGACTTCTGCCTCGTTTATTGTAGAAATTGGAAGTGAATGAGGCAGTGGATTGTACGAAGAGAAAAGATCATTAATTGAATGCTGCCCTGGAGGGTTGGATTCTATGTGATGCTAAGCAAGTCACTTAAACAAAACTTTTCTTGGTGGTCACTAATTGCGTGTTCCTCATTTTCTGGGCACACAACATGAGACCCTGGGGTCTGATTTGTGGAAGTACTGCGTGCTCACAGCCTCAGCTGAAGTCAATGAGTGGAGAGCTTTGAACATATATAGTACTATGTGTTGCTAAGTGCACTGAAAAATCAGGTCCTAGACATCTCAGTTTGGGCATCCAAAATTAGTGGATGCTTTTGACTGTATTCTCTCTGTACCTCAGTTCTTCATCTATAAAATGGGGGTAACACCACCTCCTCATCTCACAGGGTTGTTGTGATGTGAAGATAAATTTCATTAATGTTTCTGGAGCACTCAGATTCTATAGCAATGAGTGCCATAGAAAAGTCCATAAGGAAATTAATAGTTGTGTATTCAGAGCAGGGTTTGAATAGTATGGATTAAATAGGGCTAGGGCCACATGTTGAACACTGCAGATAAAAGATAACATTGAATAGATGCTTGTTATTTGTGCATTGTCCATCCTGTGCACTGAATGAGCCCGGGGTCCTGTGGGGAAAATATAGTATGTGATTTTATAATTAAAGACCATCATAATGCATATGCACAGGGGGGTCGAATCAAGGTTGCAGAGGCAACCTTAATTGTGGCATTTCCTAATATTTGAATGCCTGACTATTCAATCTTAATGTTTTAACATAGTTTTTGTGGGTGTAGTATATAAATATTTTGTTATTGGCTGACTAACTTTACATGACAATGAGGAAGCTAACAAGGGATCTCCAAATTATTTTCCTAAACAGGTTTACCTAATACAGGCTGCAATTGGAGTGCTTTGAATTTTGTTGTTTTCATGTCAGTGTTTGAATCTCTTTTCAGTGTGGATTTTTAAGCCCAGTATTCTTGGTAACAAAATAATAGCTTCTGTGGACTCTCACAGGACAACTGTTTGTTTCTTGACAACATAAACTATGGGTACCAGAACAGTGATCTCCTTGTCAGTTTCAAAAGTTTGGCTTTAGCTTTTGAAGTCAGGGAAAACATTCCCAAATAAGCAGCTGTTCTTTGAAAACCACCAAAAAAACCTTTTAGGACAACAGAGAGGCTTGGCAGGACATGCAGATTTTTCAATGCAGTATAATTAATAAATCAGTCAAGAAAATGAAATATCTTTAATGCAAAACCATGTTATAACAGGTTTCAGAGTAACAGCCGTGTTAGTCTGTCTTTGCAAAAAGAAAAGGAGTACTTGTGGCACCTTAGAGACTAACCAATTTATTTGAGCATGAGCTTTCGTGAGCTACAGCTCACTTCATTGGATGCATACCGTGGAAACTGCAGTAGACATTATATACACACAGAGACCATGAAACAATACCCCCTCCCACCCCACTGTCCTGCTGGTATTGTTTTATGGTCTCTGTGTGTATATAATGTCTACTGCAGTTTCCACGGTATGCATCCAATGAAGTGAGCTGTAGCTCACGAAAGCTCATGCTCAAATAAATTGGTTAGTCTCTAAGGTGCCACAAGTACTCCTTTTCTTTTTGCATGTTATAACAGAGATGTTTGTTTTCAAAGCAAGAGGTCCCATGACAGTGTATTATTTCTCTAGCTTTATTTCTATTATACCTCATAATTGCTATAGATTTTAATTATTGTATCTGGCAACAGATGTTGGTGCAACTGTGACAATGCTGACTAATTAAATGGTCTACTTGATTGCTTTTCAGGGAAAAATGTTATATATTACAGTTAATCAGAGAACTATACCAGACAATTTATACTTTTTAAAATTATACTATATATTGTGAATAACCTGGTTTCTGACTGGCTGCATTTTTCCTTTCCTTTCCTTTTAAGCTTTATCAGAAAATTGTCAGTTGACATCCAGAGATATACAGAATGCTACAGAACTCATTTATTAATCAGCCCCAGTATCATTTGAGATAGGAGCGTTTAAAATGTCACATTTGCAAAGCTCTACGTTAGTTATGGTTGAATTCCACTTTTCTTTATAAATGTTATCTTTAAATGGTGGCATTGCTAAAAGGGACACTATGAATGAGTTCATAATTTAAAGAAATTGCAAGTCTTCTTCCCCATTATTCATTTGTTCTTTTCCAAAGGTCATTGTTCCCACCACCCTTATTTCTGACAGTGTTTAACATACAGGATGGCAGGCATTGTTTTTTGGTAGTGGGTGGGTTTATAGATGTGGCTGTCTTTAGGCAGTCTTATTTGAAGATGGACAAGAGGCAGGGTGTTCAGAGAGCACATGTGAGCGGTCACTTGCCAGGGTATTATCCACTGTTCCTGACTGGATACTTGCCTTTTTACTGGAATGCTGGGGATAAGTAGGTTTGAGTTACTTTTTGGTTGGTTCTGAGTCTGAATTTGCAGGTCCTAATTAGCACGCATAGCCCTAGCCAATCAGGCAGCAAGCCATCCAGGTTGATGAGACATTGGACCCAGAGCCATGCTATCTGATTGGATGGTAGCTCTTCCAATGAACTGTAATGAATTGAGGACGTACAATTATTTCCTACCTCTCATTCCCATCACTAGAGCATCCACATTCTTCACAGGTGGATTGGATCTGCATAGCAAGTTCCTGGTGGACCTCATGGAGTCTTCATTCCTTTCCTTTCCCTTCCAAGGTTACAGGAAATTCTGCTTGGGATATATACATAGAAACATTTGTTAAAAATCATTTCAGGTATGCTGAGAAATGCTTTCCTTGCAGCATGCCCTAGAGGTGATCGTATTATGAATTAGTCTAATCCCCTCCAGAAGGTTGTTCTACAGCAGAGCTCCCTCCTCCTCCCACTCTTGTGTTTGTCATGGCTTTCATACTCTGCATTGTTTCAGAGTACAGCTGTTTTAGTGGGTCAGGGCGAGGATGTGGGGTATGATGCAGCTTGGTCTTCAGTTGCTGATTGCTTTATGGGTCAGGGCCAAAGCCTTGAACTGGCAAGAGAAGCAGACTGGTAGCCAGTGGAGGGATCAGTCCGCAGTGTGATAGCCTCACAACAGCCTGTCCCCTTGAGGTTTGCTGCCGCGTTCTGCCTGAACTGGAGCCTTTGCATTGATTCCAGCTTCAGGCCTAGATACAGGGCTTGGTTGGGATTCCCTTTTCATGCTCTCAAAGGAGTAACAGGGCACAAGGAACCCCCTTACTCCCTTGTATGGGCTACCCACAATGTAGGTCTGTTTGTAGGAGTGAGTGGCCTCCGTGGGGTTGCTGCTCCTGTATAGGAGGACAGGCAAGGTTGGTGAAGTGGGGAGCCTTGGTTCTGCAGCCCCTTATTCCCACCCATGTGCTCACCATCGCTATTGAGCTGATGTACAGGGGGAAGTAAGCTGCTAGGTCTAGAAGTAGCACAGCTTGCTTCCCCTGGAGCAAGAGTCAAGTAGGCTTCAGATTGTGACTGAGTCAGGTTCATTTCTGGTCTGCTTCTCAGGCTGTACAACTCCACACTGCCTCTTACTTAGGGCTCATGGTTGACTCTACAAGTTAGTCCACAGTGGTTTTGCAGGTGACAAAAGTGTGAATCACTGTGTGTAGTGCTGCTCTTGTTCTCATGACCCCACATTCATGGACTGGATTTTCAAAAGCATTCAGCACCCACTGTCAAGGCTATATTTTCAGAAGTGCTTAGCTCCCATTCAGATACCAGATTAAGTGGTGGATTTTCAAGTGAGCTAAGCACATGGGGTACTCTTTGAAAAGTCTTCCCCAGGCTGTTCCAGTGGAAAGTGCAGAGTGCTGATCACACTGAAAATCCATCCCTTATTTCTGTGCCTCAAGGGGAGCTGAGCGCTTTTGGAAATCTGTCACCAATGTGGGTACTGAGCATTTTTGAGAATCTGGCCCTATTCCTCTGGCTAAGGAGGGCTAGATATAGATACCGCTGGAGCCCATGAAACTACTGCTACTGCCCATGCTCTTATAAAGCTTTTATGGTTATTGCAAATATAATTTATATAAAGTTCTATAAATGGAATGATCTCATATACTTCCACTAACAAAGACTCAAATGTAATCCATCAGTCTGTTTGGTACAATATGATTTCATTACATGGTATGCTAATTATATCAAGCAAAACAAAAATTATTCAGATTTTTAAAATAAAGCCACATGCACGAGGCATATGTATAATATATTAAAAAAAACTATGGATTTTCCAAATAAACCTATTAAAAATTAGGTTTGTCCTTACTCAGGTAACCTATGAGAATCAACAATAATCCCCAGCCTAATGAATAGACAAATGCCCTCCTAATCCTCCACCTTCTCAGAAGTCTACGAAAACAGGCCTTCTATTGTGCCGCAAAGGGCTATGTTGGACAAAGAGGAAAGTTTGCTCCAGTATAAAGTTCCTTCTCTGCAAATGCCCGGCAAGCATTTCCTTCACATTTAAACCAGAGCGCTAGCTGCTCAAATGCCTCAGGTGATTTCAGCTGCTGCTGTCACACAGAGACACAATTTCTCAGGTAGCCAAGACTCAAACAATTACATTTTTATAGGTCAAAATAAGTACATTGAATTGCACTTGGAAATTTAATGGGAAGCCCCTGTGAATCTCAGAGGACAGATATAATATGCTCCTTCCATGAATAACTAAGCAAATTGACTATTGCATTCTGCATCTGTTTAAGTTTCCAAATGGTCTCCAAATATAACCTCATGCAGAGTATTCCAATTGCAGTAATTCAGTTTTAAGGTGACAAAGCCATTGATAAATATAATGAGGGGTTGCATTCAAAATATATCGAGCAAGACATTTATGCTGTCTTTTATAATGGCAATTGAAAATTTTTTTTAAAAGCTACAGTATAAAACAATTGCATTTTTAAAAGTAATTAAAATAACTAAAGTTTTACAGATGAATAGTTGAGAAGAGCAAGACGACTTAAGACTGCCATTCAATGGTTTGTCTGTAGATCTTACAGAATTTCAGAGGACACAGAATAGTGAGTAATCTTGCAGCCAGCAAACAGCAGTCTGTAATTCCCTAGACGCAGTTCAGCAAGTAAAAGGCAGAGTTTGAACTCTGAATTTTCTTTATTTTAATTAGTTTGTGTTTTGTCTGAAACAGTACATGAACATGTACTCCTCTGTTTTATGGAGTGATTTGAATTTGACTGAATTTCTGAAAATTTAACTGTTGATGTAATGCTTGACAGAGACTGCAATCAGGGAGTAGATAATATAAAGTGCATTTGTCTCTTTTTTCTAGTGTGTAAATTTAAAGCACATAAAAGGTGTGCAGTCAGGGCAACAAATAATTGCAAGTGGACTACGTTAGCCTCTATTGGGAAAGATATCATTGAGGACGAAGACGGTGTAAGTATTATTCAGGCTTTCAATACTTCACAACAGTTAATTGTTTGGTGGGTATTTTATTTTATTTTTTAATTGGCAAGTATAGAAATGTTAAGTGACCCATTAAAGTTAATGGTAGTTAGCTGTATTGCTATAGATACTATATTAAAAGCCTGATAAAGGGGTTCTTCAGGAGACGCATTTACCATCAATGGGCTCTAGAAGGAAGAATTCCATGTTACAGAATTCTGGGGGAAGTATGGACGGATCCTCTGAGCTTTGAGAATTGCTGTGAGAAGCCCCTCTCTTTCTCACCTCAAACTTGAGCAAAGAAGTTGTATTTGTGTTTGTCTTGCTGATATGCTGTTTTCTTGGCCTGCTTTGTCTACTTGTAACTGACACCAGTTCTCCAGAAGATCTGTTTGGAATTCATTGACATACAGCTTGTAGTTCTATTGATACATGTAACTGTTAAAATTAAAAGTAGAAAATAAAACAGTTTTTTTGTGAGTTGTGTCAAAGTAGATGAGTTAAATTTACAGCCACTGGCATATAATTCTTTTCTAGATTAGTGCTAGAATTGCCAAAAATATGCATGCATACAGAAATTTACATATCTAGATATTGGTGCAAAGAGTAAATTAGAAGAAAGTTTCAGGAGGATGCTGAATTACTGATCTTTTTGTAGTTTTAATGGCAAATTTCCGTGCAATGGTATTTAACTTTATAACAACTTCCTCACAGATAGCTATGCCTCACCAATGGTTAGAGGGTAATTTGCCTGTTAGTGCCAAATGTGCAGTCTGCGACAAGACCTGTGGCAGCGTTTTACGCCTCCAAGATTGGAAGTGCCTCTGGTGTAAAGCTATGGTAGGTATCATATGGCTTGTAAAAATGTCTTGGATTCTGCCAGGATGGTTATTTACCCATTATTCTCATTTTTAATTATTTAACCTTTTGGAAGGGAAGGGGACCGATCAGTTCATAGTGAGTGACCTGGACAGATGTGTAACATTCATAATCTAGAATGTCTCTCCCACTTGTCTGTTGTTTTTAATAGGTCCACAAATACAGGTTTTTCTTTAATAGTCCTTGCTACGTATCATGTATCCTTTGCATTTCTCCTAACTCCCTGAGGCCATGGTCTAAAGCTCACTGAAATCAAAGGGAGATTTTTTGCTTTTACTTCAATGGGCTTTGGATCAGGCCCTTAGTACTTCATCCTATACTAGAGGCCCATTGTGTTTCGAGCAGGTCATCTGCTTGAATAGTTGGTGACATACTCTGTGCCCCTTATAATTATATGTATGTCTATCATTTTGGCTTCCTAGTCTCTTCTAATAAATATAAAACTAATTGTCTTTAATCTATCCTGAAATATATAATTGCTGAGACTTTGTTTCCCTTGTTCCTATCTTCTGTAGTATTCTTCATGTGGTATAGATTTAAATTCTCCATCTTTCTATCACTGTCTTCTCATCAATGTATAATTGCATTTTTTCCCTTGATGCCTTTATCTCTTGTTAGCTTCTCTCCTGCAATTCGGTGCTTTTCCTAGAAGTGGGAAATTGGCAGAATTTTTAAGTATAGTAGTGCATTCAGAATATTTTGTTTAGAAATAGATAACTAGATCTATGGTTTAATGTTTGTATATGTTTGAATATACTGCAATATAGTCTGTTATACATTACCCCATCTCTGAATAATATCTAGCTACTGTATCTATTGCAATTTTACCATAAAATGAGATTATATGTTGGGAAGCAATTATTCATTTAACTTATTTTTCCTCAGGTTCACACTGCCTGTAAAGATCTGTATCCTCATAAATGTCCGCTTGGACAATGTAAGGTATCCATCATACCTCCAACAGCACTCAACAGCATAGATTCTGATGGTACGTAGTATAACGGGGCCATTAGTAGGAATTCTGCAGTTATGGTTTCACTGAGATTTCTACCTGAAGCAGGGCTAAAATCCCTCTTTTTCACAGATAAATTTAGTCTCCAAATTTAGCACAATAACTCTTCAGATGGTAATTGAATTTTCCATGTAATTATTTTTTAGAAAAGTCCGTACTAGCTTACAGAGGAAATATTATTAAATGCTCCCCTTTAAAAATTCTGTTCTCATGTTTCTCTGGGATCCACCAACGAAACAACCAGAGTCCTTGAAAACTTCACACACATGCATTCTGACATGGGCCACTTTCAAAAAACACAAAGAATGATTTTTTTAACTCAAAATTAAAGAGTTTGTGTTATGCAGATTAGCTTACTGAACTCCTCAGATGCACTCTCTTCTGATGTTTTTGAGGATAAAAAAAATAGTTTCCATTTTCTATCAAAATTTTATTTTAATCAGAAACATGAACAGATCACCATTAAAGGTAGTGAAAATTGAAAGGTGCGCATTGCTTGTTCGGGACAGAGATGAGCTTGACTGTAGGTGTGGGAAAGAAGGTGAAGCTGAGGTTGGGAAGATGAATTGTTGAGTGGAGTGTTGAGAAACAACTGTTTTATTATATTTTTTTTTATACTTTGTGTTGGTGGCATATGCAACCCAACTACCTTACCTCTAAGTTAGGCACTTTTTTTTGTATGGGATTGATATAAATGACTGAATACTGGAGATGTTCACTGACTCTGAACTTGCTGTCTAATGTCTTTGGCTGAAGCAGTGAAATTGCTGCTATTTATTATTCATGCTAAGAAGATTGCTTTCATTATAAGTGCAATTAGATTGCTTACCATTAAAAAATATTGTTTTAAATTATGCATTAACAGAAAGTGGAATTATATTAAACTTCTTATACTTTCAAAGTCCATTTTTTTAATTCATTAGAACTGATAAGATTTTTAGCTTTCAGATTTCTTTTTAGACAATTAAAAAGAGATAATTGCTTTATTCTTGTCTGAAATGAGAGTCAAAACCTGGCCACATATGGCCTGATTCAAAGTGGTGCTGAGTATCCATAACTCCCATTGGGCCCTCAATGAATGTGATTTTCATGACAACACTGTCCATTAGCACTGTTTACTAAAGTCCTGATCCAAAGCCCATTGAAATCAATTGAAAGTCTTGCAAAGACTTCAGTAAGCTTTGGATTAGACCATAAGGGTGTGTTGTTCTGTCCTTCCATTATAATTCAGCTGTATGAATTCAGTCTGAAATAAAAGTTTTCATGCAAAGTCTCAGTTGGGAGTAATTTAACAATATAACATTTTGTGGAAATGTATGGGGGTTTTTAGATTTGGTGGGAATGGGAACTTTTGTAGATTGGAGGACTCAATTGACACTACTGCACTCTGGTGCAACTTAATGGAAGCTTTAAAAAAAAGTCAGAAAAAATTATGTTTTATATCTGGAAAACGTATTTGATGGTATGGTGATGTGTGCTGGAAAAAATTGCAACATTCCATCAACCCACATTTTTGCTGTGGAAAATAAAGCTATTTTCTTTTGTGTTTTGCTAACTTTAGACAAAAAATTCAGGTAAAAATCCAGGAGACAAAAAGCAAAGTAGTAAATTTGAAGTAGATTTAATATAACAGTGCTATTCTCCTTGAGGCTAATACTCAATTCCGTTTTTGCATTATGCATCATATGATAGCATCCCTTTTGTCCTTTCATCCATTTTCCTCCTCTTTCTCGTGATTTCTCTTGAATGTGTTCATATATAAAGATCTTATTTATTTCATTCTTTCTAACTTTGTTCACAGGATTCTGGAAAGCCACATGCCCGCCATCCTGTGCCAGTCCTCTTTTAGTTTTTGTTAACTCAAAGAGTGGAGACAATCAGGGAGTAAAGTTTCTTCGTCGATTCAAACAGTCGCTAAATCCAGCTCAGGTGTTTGATTTAATGAATGGAGGACCTCATTTAGGGTAATGAACTTTGCAATCTTGAGCAAGCCTTTTCAAAGGGAATTGAGTACAAAGTGACTCAGTTGTTCCCTAATTATAGTATTTTTTTACAAATCTCTGATATTTGCTTTCCTATTAACATTTGTAATGGATAAAGTTAAAAATTTAAAACACCAGTCACCTGTAACTTCATTATCAGTTCTGTGGGTGTGTAGGATTTTATTTATATTTAATAAAGATTCACTTGAAATTAAAGATTTATTCATATTTCTCATGGACTGTTGGCTAGCTCCAGGCTGTGGTCTCTATGGCTGTGTCTACACAGCCTGCAGCAGTGACAGACTGGGGCTTGTGTAGCTTGTGCTAGCTCTCTAAAAATAGCTGTGTAGACAGCGCTTTGAAGTTTTGACTGGGGCTGGAGCTCGGGCTCTGAAGCCCAGGGAGGGGGCTGATCTGCCACAGGCTGTGTAGACATACCTACTAAGGCCCTGATTTAGGAAAGCAGTTAAGCACATGCTGAAGTGCTTTCCTGAATCAGGGCATTATACACAGCTGAAAGAAATTTGTTGTTTTTTGTGTGTATTTTCAACATACAGTTCAGCCCTGATTGGCAGCTCATTGTGAATATCTATATACAGAAATATGTATGTGTAACTATTTCTGTAATGTCTTAAAATAGCTTTAGAATAATATTCTAAAAAAGCTTTAGGGCAGGTCTGTACTACCGGTAAAGCTGATCTAACTTACGTTACACAGGGGTGTGAAAAAGCCCCTGCAAGAGCAACACAAGTTTCGCACTGTCCACACCAGTGCTATGTCAGCAAGAGATGCTCTCTCGCGACATAGCTTCTGCTTCTTACCGCAGTGGAGTAATTATGCTGACAGGAGAACGCCCTCCCATTGGCATAGCGCGCCTTCACCAGGCATGCTACCGCAGTGCTGCTGGATCAGTGCAGCTGCCCCGATGTAGCGCTGTAGTGTAGACTTGCCCTTAGAATTTTGGACACAAATGGCACTTTGAAAATACTGTAGGAAATCATGTGGTTGGTTAAGTACAATAGCTTTTCACTACTAGAGACCTAAATTCAGGTTACAGTTTAGGTCACAAATGCAAATGAGTTATTCTGTGAGCTTTATGCAGAATTTATCATGTCTTTGTTTGAGACAAAGCCAGGACTGAAATAGCAGAGGTAATGCAAGACAAGGTTTAAGTAAATTGGTAGAGATATAGGAGGGAAACTTGCCCAGTCTTTGCTATATTTCAAGCTACTTCAATGCTTTCATAAAATACTAAATTTATATACAAATGTTTGTGATCTAAACCGATTCCATTCAAATATTGCTTTGTGATTAAATGGCCTAGTCATGTCAGGTAACACCAAGTGAATATATTGATTTTACATTTTTAAAGATGCAGAAGTGGGAGTGCTGAGAGCCATTGAATGAAAGTGTAAACGTTGTATATAATAGAAACCACTACAAGGCAGGGGTGCTACCCTACCCCCTCACCCCTAGTTCTAGCACTTACGTGCAGAACTATGTTTCTATGATAAAAATTTAAAAATCCCCCCCCCAATAAAAAATGCATGTATCCATATTTATATTCTCTATATCTATATCTGTAACTCACTTTCCAGCAAAAAGAAAAGGAGTACTTGTGGCACCTTAGAGACTAACCAATTTATTTGAGCATAGGCTTTCGTGAGCTACAGCTCACTTCATCGGATGAAGTGAGCTGTAGCTCACGAAAGCCTATGCTCAAATAAATTGGTTAGTCTCTAAGGTGCTACAAGTACTCCTTTTCTTTTTGCGAATACAGGCTAACACGGCTGTTACTCTGAAACCTGTCACTTTCCAGCATAACCCTAATTTAGATCCAGACTTAACTTAAACATCCTTTCCACCTAATATTTCACAGCGGTCTCTTGCCAGAGGAAAAAGAGAGGAAGCTTCAATTGAATTGGACAAGCCATTTTTGAGAGATGAAAATTTGAAAAATGAATCTTAAGTTTTTTAAAAGTCTGAGGTTTTTGTAAAGTTGTATCTCAAAAGCACCTTGGTTTAAATACTTGACACAGTACTAAAGTTGGGAGGTGATTCACTATGGCAGTGGTTCCCAAACAGGGGTCTGTGGCACCTGGTCTATCAGGTGATGCTGATAACTTCTTGTTTTCAGCTATTAGAAAGGCAAAATCTGATTCTCTGTATAGTGTGCTTCTGGAGGATTATTTCTGTTCCTGGCATGGCAAATATCATTTTGGCATCAGCTTTGTGATTCCAAACACTGTTTGAGAAGAGTAATATTGTCTTGTTTTGAATATACATCTGCCTATTATACAAGATTAATTATTTTCATTAGAAATGTCAAACACTTCATAGACTATCAGGGTTGGAAGGGACCTCAGGAGGTTATCTAGTCCAACCCGCTGCTCAAAGCAGGACCAATCCCCAATTTCTTCCCCAGATCCCTAAATGACCCCCTCAAGGATTGAACTCACAATCATGGGTTTGGCAGGCCAATGCTCAAACCACTGAGCTATCGCTCCCCCCATGTACACTGGCCAAACCGGACGGTCTCTGTGCAAAAGAATAAATGGACACAAATCTGACATCGGGAAGCTTGAATTAATGTGCAAACTAGATACCATTAACTTGGGTTTGAATAGAGACTGGGAGAGGCTGGGTCATTACACATATTGAATCTATTTCCCCATGTTAAGTATCCTCACAGCTTCCTGTCAACTGTCTAAATGTGCCATCTTGATTATCACTACAAAAGTTTTTTTCTCCTGCTGATAATAGTTCATCTTAATTAGCCTCTTACTCCACTTTTTCATGTTCTCTCTGTGTGTGTTTGTGTGTGTGTATATATATATAGTGACAAAGCTCTGTCCTTGCCTCTGTAGGTCCCGCATTTCCTGGCAGATTTCATTAGCCTCAGAGGCTCACTGTGACCGTCCACATAACCCTTCTCTCTCTAGGGACAAGGGTCACAGTCTACTGAGCCATTTTCATCATAAGCTAGCGAGGGAGATGAGGAGAAGTTATCCTTCCTTGCACAGTCTCTGTTGTCTCCCAGTCTCAGTGATTAATCAGGAGGCAGTGGCGGGGGGAAAGAGCCCGGGCCCACCCTCTACTCCAGGCTCCAGCCCAGGGACCCTAATAGTATCCGCTATGGTAGCTGACCTTTTAGAAACATGACATGAACAATTCCCTGGGCTACTTCCCCCACAGCAGCCCTCACTTCCTCAAGCTCCACTTCACCCTTACCTCAGGGCCTCCTCCTTTGTGCCTGATATGGTGTGTACTTCTCAGTTTCTCCAACAGCACAACTTCCTCCCACAGCTCCTGACATGCACAACCACCTGACTGACTGGGAGGCTTTTAACTGGTTTCAGCCAGCCCCTGATTGGCTTCAGGTGTCCCAATCAACCTAGCCTTCTCCCTGCCTTCTGGAAAGTTCTTAATTAGCCCCAGGTGTCTTAATTGACCTCGAGCGGCTGCCATTTCACTTATCCTGGTACCAGGGATTTGTTTAGCCTGGAGCTAATATATCTATCTCCCACTACTTTTCAAAAATCTGACATTCACATTATATGCTTCTTTTAGAAATAATGCTAAGATGATACATGTTCTGGAAAAAAAAATGCACAAAAATACCCAGCCCTATTTTTATCATTTAAAGAATCAGTATTTTGTTAGTATTTCTCCCCTTATTTTCTCTTAGTTTTCCCATTCCTGCTCTCTCTCCTCTTTGATCTCTATTTCTTCATGTCTCCTTCTCCTTTCCTCTTAGTCTCTCCTTTCCATTTGTTCTCTGTCTCCTCTGTCCTCCTTTTCTTTATCCCCTACGGAGAGTATTGTATTGTATATCTTGGCAGAATTTGGAGAACTGAAGGAACTGGAGGCAGGTAAAGTCTATGAGTAGAAACAAGATATTGTTTGAAGATCCAGTATGAAATATATTCGCTCTGTTTGCCTTATATACTCATGAGCACCATGTCATGTATAGTCATTGATTTTCCTTTGGTTTAGAAAAGTCACAAGTTGGCAAGGGACATCCACATTCTGGACCACACCCTGCAGTCATTACTTAACCTTTACTGGTGCAAAACTCCCATTGACTGCCATGGTGCCTCAAACATCTGACTTTGATTTGCATTCTCAGAGCATGGACTCTATGGTTTGCCCAGTATTCTGACAAACCTCATTTTTAAAAAACCTGAAAACTGTGCATGATATCTTAAAGGGAAAAATTTCATTAAAATTCTGCATGTTATTTCCCAGAAAATGTGGTAGAGTATATTATAACAGACAACGTATAAGTTACATATGGTGAAGTAGTTGGACTTATCAACATCCCTATTATCATAAAAGCAAAAGCAGGCACCTATGTACCCCACAGGCATTTTCACTGAATATCCATTAATGGGCATGAATTCTAACCAGTTGCATTTTCTCTTCAGTTTACGGTTATTTCAGAAGTTTGACAATTTCCGGATTCTTGTATGTGGTGGAGATGGAAGCGTTGGTTGGGTTTTGTCAGAAATTGATAAACTCAGCTTGCACAAACAGGCAAGTGTATGTACTTACTTTTTTTTTCTCCCTTTTCCCACAGATAGGTAGGTAGGTAGGTAGAGAGAGGGCCAAATCCTGTAGTCCTTACTTAATCAACACTCCCACTGAAGTTGCTGGGAAATTTGAACTGAATATAGACCATAGGATTTGACCTACAGGTTTGAATTAGTAATCAGCTATATAATTAACATTTGCTTCTTGAAACATTTGTGTTAGTTCATGCTTCCAGTTCTTTTAGTTGCAATAAAAGATTTGTTCTTTTGCTGTATTTCAGTGTCAGCTGGGAGTGCTTCCCCTTGGTACTGGAAATGATCTTGCCCGTGTCCTTGGTTGGGGAGGGTCATGTGATGATGACACACAACTTCCTCAGATTTTGGAAAAGTTAGAACGAGCCAGCACTAAAATGCTGGACAGGTAAAAATATAAGTATGTATGTGTATTTGTGACAAATTTCAGAAACATTTGCCTGGGTTTCTAATGGCCTAAAACTCTTTCTCAGCGGTTTAATTGTTGTTTGTTTAAACAGCTTAAAAGGTAGCACATTAACAAAACCCATCACCAGTTGAGTTCATTTTCTTAGTTTTGTTAAGACTTTCTTGGTCCAAAAGCAACTGTTCTCCCTCTTCCTTGTTTTGCATGAGAGCTGCATGCCAGCTGTGTTCATTCATATAGCAAAGGAAGATCTTTGAGTTTTTAAAAAACAAATTGCCTGTGCTGACAATCCAAGGAAGACATCATACCCTATTGTTTATTAGTGTGTATATGTGTTTTGTACACGTGTGTGTATGTATGTGGATATTATAAAATAACTACATACTACCCCCATTCCCATGTCTCACACAAAATCAGGAGTCCTTTTTAATGTGAACTCCTCATCTGATCACTTAATCATTTTACAACATAAAAAAGTTCTTGTTATTGATCCTTAGTAATAACTTTAATGTAGGCATTCAGAAACGTGCCTAGAAGACTATTAATAAATCACTTTTTTCTGTTTTAATTAAAAAAAACTTGGTCACTTCTCCCCATAAATTCCATAGACTGTTTCCAAGGTCGTTTTTTGGCAATTGCTTGCTTTCTTTTGCATATATTGAGGCATTTTAGTTTTAGCAGTTTCATACTGTCAGTGCTATGCAATACTGTGCTATGCCAGAAAGAAGTTGGTATTAATAAAGATTCGTTGTCCCAGAACTGTTCTAGATTGAGGTGTCAGTTGAGGAGATTTTGGAATAAATTGATAAACTAAACAATAACAAGTTACCCGGAGCAGATGGTATTCACCCAAGAGTTCTGAAGGAACTCAAATGTGAAAATGCAGAACTACTAACTATTGTACGTAACCTATCACTTAAATCAGCCTCTATACTAAATGACAGGTGGATAGTTAATGTGACACTAATTTTTTTAAAAACAGCTTCAGAGGTGATCCTTGCAGTTACAGGCCAGTACGCCTAACTTCAGTACCAGGCAAATTGGTTGAAACCACAGCAAAGCATAGAATTATTAGACACAGATAAACATGGTATGTTGGGGAAGAGTCATTATGGCTTTTATAAAAAGAAGTCATGCCTCACCAGTCTATTAGAATTCTTTGAGGGGAGTCAACAAACATTTGGACAAGGGTGATCCAGTGGATATAGTGAACTCAGACTTTCAGAGAGCCTTGGACAAGGTCCCTCACCAAAGGCTCTTAAGCAAAGTAAGGAGTCATGGGATAAGAGGGACAGTCCTCTCAAGGATCAGTAACTGGTTAAAAAATAGAAAACAAAGGGAAAGAATAAATGGTCAGTTTTCACATGGAGATAGGTAAATAGCAGAGTTCCCAAAGGATTTGCACTGGGAACAGAGCTGCTCAACATATTGCTAAATGATCTGGGAAAAGGGGTAAACAGTGAAGTTGCAAAGTTTGCAGACTATACAAAATTACTCTAAAATACTGGGTTAGGTGGACCATTGGTCTGACGCACCATGGCCATTCTTATGTTCTTATCTCAAAGTGTTTTAGAAAGGAAAGTAAGTATCATTAGTCCTCTTTTACAGATGGGGTTACTGAGAGGTGTGAAGTGACTTTCCCAAGGTTACACAGTAGGTCAGTAGCAGAATTTGGGAATACTAGCCAGGTCTCCTGACTTCCAATCCAGAGTCGTATCCAGTGCACCACACTACCTGCTATAAGTATCTGATGCATAATGAAAGTTGATGGGAAGTTTTTATACAGGAAGTAATTTGGATATCGTAGGTAATACATGTTAAATAATTAAACAGTGAATTGTTGTGAGATGACAACGAATTCTCATAGCTCAGTGCCTTGACTTCAAGACTTGCTGATAATTCACAACTCCCACTAACTTTCTAATAAGAGTTTTTGTTGTTCAGCATGCTCAGGGTGAAATCCTTTTTGAGGCTGAAAACTCCAGGAAAGACCCCTTATGTGTGTGATTATTTAGTAATTGGTCACTGAATTTTCTTTCTGTTGACAAGTGGAAGTGTTTGTTTTGTGGATGTTCTTAGAAGACTCTGATAATTTGGAAAACTTCAAAAGCTGCTGCTTCTATTTCCTTCAGATGGAGTATAATGTCATATGAACTGAAATTACCATCAAAGCCTTCTATTCTTCAAGTTACTCCAGAAGAGGAATCTGGGGAATGTCAGGTGAAGCTTTATTTTGCATACACTTAGCGATTTGAGTGACAACACTGAAAAGATAACGAAAACAGTTCTGAGAAGTGATACAGGAAATAAGAAGTCTCTTTAATTGCTCTTTAAGTCAGATCTAGTTCATGTCATAAGTATATAATAAGGTTTCCATTTCTTGGTTAAAATATTTCATATGATTTTTCCAAAAAAGAGTGAGGTGAGTGGATGGTCCTCATCAGAGGGATCAGAAATAACTCATACCAACAGTGCAATAATTTTCTTGTAAAAGCAAACATTTACTAGTATATCTTGAATTTGGGAAAAATTAAATGAGAGGTTTTTTGGGAAGGAATCTGCTTTCTTGCCAAGAATAAAGGCATTTTGGACCTGATGAAAGTGCCTTACAGGACTTCATGTTCTCCTCTCCCCTTTTTGTCCATTCAGAAGTCTCCAAATATCCTAATACAGCTTTCAAACTAGCTGCCTACCTCACTGCTATTGTAGCATCGATCTGGGGGTGGAATGAAGTGTTGTGATTAAATTCATGTGGTATAAAAATGTAGTTATGTCTGGAAATGGTAAAATGTCACCCTCCTGCAAGATTCCATGCAGCTATCAATCTTCACTTGAGAATGCTTGAGAAACAGAAATTAATTAGTAGGTTGCTGATTAATTTAACCATTCAAACAGTACCAAATCTATTTGGATAGTCAGGAGTTGTTAAACTCTGGGAGCTCATTAGATAACTGAGATGCAGAGAGGCTGGGGTCCCAACAGCTGAAATTCTCCTGTCCTTTTGCAGTGGTGCTGGAACACGTTTTACAGTGAGGGTGCTGAAAGCCAGGGATCCCCCAACTTTTTACCTCTTCTCCCTACCCCACAGAGCTGGGGTCAGGAGCAGGGTTGTGGCTCTGGGAGGGGGGCACACAGACAGGGGTCAGGGGGCCAAGGCTGGGACCACAGCTGGGGATGGGAGCAGAGCCCCAGGTGCAAGGCTGGTGGCAGCCAGGGGACCCCGGGTGCAGGGCTGATGGCAGCTGGTGGCCAGGAGCGGAGCACCTGTATTTCCCATACCTATGGTCCTTTGCCACACAACTCTGTCACCAGTGGGATAGATGTCAGTAATGCACTGCAGAGTTTAGGTATTCTTCTAACATTTTGTAGAACAGTCAGTGCCTTCAAATACATCTTCATCTTCTATAGTTAAGAAAAAGAAAATGTATGGAATGTTCCAGTTATATCTTCCTATGAAATTGTTAAATTTAGTTCCAATTAAAGCTAAAGAAACTAATTGTAGAATACTTGTAATCTTAGTATTTAGAGACTAGATACCATAGGCCATTTTGCTAACTGTAAGTATTCTGAATATAAAGGATCGTTTTCTTTTGGACACCTTGAACTCCCCCGCATATTAATATTTTCTGTATGGTTTAGTTTGGGTTAAACTGAATTTTAAGTATTTGAAACAGTAGAGACTAATGGACCAATCTTGCATTATGTGTTGTACCAAATTGCAGCATTGATTTAAAATGGTAGATATTCACACACACACACACACACACACACACACACACTCTCTCTCATTGTCATCATAACCATTTCATTTGGGCCACATTGGGAGCTCAGACATCAGTGTTTGTTCTCCCATGCTACATTTTATTTATTTTCTCTTTAAAATTAAAGATGTTTCATATCAGAGCTCTGGAGCTAAGGTGGGTGGATAAAGGAAAAGAAGGAATTATATTTCTACTTATTCCAGTCATGAATGGAAACCCAAGTAACTAATGTTTAAATCTCAAGAGCACACAGTCATTTTGAAGCAGAACTTAGATTTTAAACTAAGAGCTAGATCCATACCTGATATGGACTGCCCACCATTAGGGACAGCGTGGAGCTCCACCACCCTAGAGAGAGTGTCAGGAGGCAGAATGGCTCACTGGTGCACAGAGAAAAATCATATGCTATTAAGGTGTAGTTTGCTTCTCCTACATGCTGGTGCAGGGTGAGGTCTATGGACATGGTTCTGGTCCATGATGCCTCCCTACGCCCTCCCTGAGCATAGGGGGTGCAGTTCTGTGTGATCCTTACGCAGACTGTGCAAGCGGGGGGCATGGGAGGTCTCTGTGCTCTTCCCTGAATGCATCTACATGAAGGCCAAGCAGAACTTGGTGACAAATGGTTTGTTGTCACAAATGGTTTATTCACTAAGGGCTAGGCTTTGATAGTATTATACCAGTTTAGAAGCCCATACTCCACTGCTCACCCTATTCACTTCAGTGGGACAACTTGTGGAATGAGGTACTGTTCAGTACTAATTAGGATGTCAGAAGCTGGCCCTAAAACTGTGATTTATTCCCAACCCATTGATTTAGTTGCAGGGTATCTTTCACTTTTTTCTGGAAAAAAGATTCTGACTATTATAGATCTGAAATCTGTTCAGACCATCATCTAGAAAAATAGGATGATATTGTTGGCTATGGAGGGTGATAACTTAAAGGAAACCTTTAACTGGATTTTTAGCACAGAAATAACTATCATTAATTTTTTATCCAGAAAAGAGAGAACTCTAATTCAACATCTCACAGTCACTGTGATTTTGAATATTAAATTGCAGCTAAAGGGAAGCATCTGACCTTTCTGCACTAAGTGTAGATCTAATATTTTGGAAGTAATCCCACTTATCTGGGAATATAATTACCACTTTGTGTTAAATGCTAACACGGGTGGAATATGAAGACTCATTTTTGCTGCATTTTCAGATATCTGCTTATGAGGATTCAGTTGCTGCTCATCTCACAAAAATCCTCAATTCTGATCAACACTCAGTTGTCATATCATCTGCCAAGTGAGTTGATGATTTTGATGTATAGTGTGTGGGATAAATTCTTGTGTACCATCTACATATATGAACATTATAACCTTTCCAGTAAGCTCAAATTCCTTCTGACTCTTGATCAGCTAGTTTGACCTAACAGTATCCTGATTTACATGTTATAAAGTACAGTTGGTTTCTTTTTATAATTATGTTGTATTGTATAATTATATTGTATGTGTTAATGTAATTTAAACAAATCAATCACACAAAAATCTTAAAGATCATGTAATGCAAAAATCACTTAGTTAATTAAGACATTAGTATACTGAGTTAAAATGTAAGCCATATTGTTACTTCTGCATATAAGAGATCTGGTTTACTTAAAGCGGTTTTTTTGTTGTTCATATCCTTTCTTTTAGAAGCACACACATAACCATTGTAGAAGTAGGAGTCTGCAGCTATATGTAATAATTAAATATGAGCTCAAGCCACAAAATTTTGATACCAAATTTGAACACCTCTATATATGAGGGCACATCTCTCTGGAAATCATGAATCCCATATGAAATCCTAGTGTTCCATTTGACCTTGCTGAGAAAAAGAACATCAGAACGGCCATACTGGGTCAGACCAAAGGTCCATTTAGCCCAGTGTCCTGTCTTCTGAAAGTGGCCAATACCAGGTGCCTCACAGGGAATGAACAGAACAGGTAATCATCAAGTGATCCATCCCCTGTTGCCCATTCTCAGCTTCTGGCAAACAGAACCACGGACAGCTCAATGTGGGCAGGGACCAGGGGAGCAACAAAGGAGCTCCTGGCTGCCTGCTGGGACTGAGTAAGGACTGAGCCCGGGGAGGGCCACAGGAAGATAGTGTCTCCAGAAAGGAAGTTCTGGGGATATGACCCCATACCAGGGCCAGGATTACTTAACGACTGAGGCCAGGGAGGGCTAAAGAGACACCAGCCATGGGGTGGTGAGACAGGCCCCTTGTGGACTGTATACCTCAGAAGGGGTCCGTTCTGATACACAGTGGAGGGCTGAGTCACTGGAAAACCACCTGGGAACCACTGAAAGGGGTCACCAGAACTGAAAGACTGCAGACACACCGTACCAGAAGGGGGCACTCTCGAGAGGTGAGTGCTGGCCCAGTACAGACCCCTGTACCCACATAGAGTCTCACTGAAGTCTGCATGAGTGCAAGGGTCTGCCCATGTGGAATGATTTGCAGATTGGCCTAAGTCCATAGAGGGAGCACAAGTTGCTATCAACTCTGCTGGTATGGTTGATGATACTGATAATGAAAGGTATGCAAACAAGGCAATAAATAAAAATGACCATGTTAATGTCATCTCAGTTAGAAATAGAAGGGAAAACGGAAGGAAGGAGTAGGGAACCAATGTGTACCAAAAGGCACTGGAGACTTAAAAAGAAAAATATAAAATCTACTTTTAAAAATGATTTGATGGTGTCCCCTTTACAACCAGAATGGTTTACAGTAGTATACACTGTAGAGTAATGGTTATAATTGTATTGGTTCGTCCACTTCCACCTGTGAAGTGTGTGATTTTAAAACTTTCACTATAACTTTTTCTTAATGTTCTCATGCAAAAGAAGCATGGGAGTTCTCTTTGAGTTTGGTGGAATTGTAGTAAGAGAACCAAAAATAAGTTAGTAATTAAAAAATACATCCAATAATCAATATTAATAGATACATCCAGTTCATTTATTTCTATTTTACTCCCTTTTTTTATCCAAAGGATATTATGTGAAACTGTAAAGGACTTTGTATCCAAAATAGGGAAGACCTATGAAAAAACAATGGAAAATGCAGAGGAAGCAGATACCATGGCCATTAAAGTAAGAACTTTTCATAACATGTTTTTTTCCAGCTACTATTAGGTTTTTAAAATTTAATGAAAATTAAAGTAATTCAGGGGACTGGGTATTGTAATTCAAAAGTAGTTTAGGAGACCTGACCCTATTCTCAATGAGGTCAGTGGCTATAAGTTGTTTTTCTTTCCATTAAAGGGACCAACTTTACATTAGAAAACAATCTATTAAATTTACTAAAGATGACATTTTTTCTTTCCCATTCCACAAAATAAAAACAAGACTCATAGACTATAAGGTCAGAAGGGACCGACATGATCATCTAGTCTGACCTCCTGCACATTGCAGACCACAGAACTCCACGCACCCTCTTCTGTAATACACCCCTAACCGCTGGCTGAGTTACTGAAGTTCTCAAATCCTGATTTAAAGACTCCAAGTTACAGAGAATCCACCATTTGCACTATTTTAAACGTGCAGGTCACCGGTGCCCCATGCTGCAGGTTCTCTGCCAATCTGACCCAGGAGAAAATTCCTTCCTGACCCCAAATATAGCAATCAGTTAGACCCTGAGCATGTGGGCAAGACCAACCAGCCAGACACCTGGGAAAGAATTATCTGTGCTAACTCAGAGCCCTCCCCATCTAGTGTCCCATCACCAATCATTAGAGATATTTGCTGTTACCGGTATGATGGGACTGCAGCTACATGCCATTGTAGGCAGTCTCATCATACCATCCCCTCCATAAACTTATCAAGCTCAGTCTTGAAGCCAGTTAGGTTTTTTGCCCCCACCGCTGACCTTGAAATGCTGTTCCAGAACTTCACTCCTCTGATGGTTAGAAACCTTCGTCTAATTTCAAGTCTAAACTTGTTGACGGCCAGTTTATATCCATTTGTTCTTGTGTCCACATTGGTGCGTAACTTAAATAACTCTCCTCTCCTCTCCTCTCCCTCTGGTATTTATCCTTCTGATGTATTTATAAACAGCAATCATATCTCCCCTCAGCCTTGTTTTGGTTAGGCTAAATAATGGACACTTGATGTTATTGAAAAGCTTATCAATTGAAAAAAATATTTATTTACTTTTCAGTTAATAGAGAGCATGTATCCTAGTCCAGGGGTTCTCAAATTTCATTGCACCGCAACCTCCTTCTGACAACGAAAATTACTACATGACCCCAGGAGTGGGGACCGAAGCCTGAACCCACCAGAGCCTTGCTGCCCCGTGGAGGTTGGGGGGAGGGGCAAACCCAAGCCCCCACTGTCCTGGGCAGGGAGGTCAAAGCTCAAGGGCTTCAGCCCCAGGCAGGGGGCCTGTAACATGAGCTTCGGCTTTGGCCCTGGGCGGTAGGGCTCGGGCTTCGGCCCCAGGCCTCAGCAAGTCTAAGACAGCCTTGGCAACCCCATTAAAATGGGGTCGTGACCCACTTTGGGGTCCCGACCCACCATTTGAGAACTGCTGTCCTAGGCATATATTGGGAAAGTGTGTAAAATGCATGGTTACAACCACAGTCATTTGCAGAAATATACTGCTGTTGGAATTGACTTCTCTCTAAAAGGGAGCCAATTAATTGCAATAAAACAATGGGATTGTGAAGAGAAAATAACCAGCTGGAGGAGGGGAGACAATAGTACATATAGTGGGCCAGGCTGAAATCACAGACCCGTGATTTAGGGTGGGTAAGGAAATTAAGAATCTGGTTTGCTAGAGAAAAATTACATAGCAGAAAAAAGAATACTTACTTTGCTGACTAAGTTGCTGTACAATGATGCCTTTGTATTTCAGTTTCTGATATTATTTCTTAACTGTATCCTTAAACAAAACAGAAAACTATTAAAATAGTGTTTAATGAAGAATACAACAAATATCCTGCACAAAAGAAATCATTATCCCAGCTTAGACTTTTAGGTCCCCACACTACAATCTGGTAGTTAACTTTTGAATTGACACTCAAGTGATTTTTTTTTCTTTTTGTTTGTATGTGTAACTTTGTTAGTGTTCAGAATTAAATGAGAAGTTAGACCTATTGCTCCAGGCTCTTCACACTGAAGCCCAGGCTACTCCCATCCTACCACGGATCACTCCCCCCATTGTAGAGGAAGAAGTTGAGGAGTTTTCAAGTGAAGAATCCTTGTCTGAAAGCAAGGAACAGTTAACAGACAGCATTGCAAAGTCTTCCACTCAGAAAATCTTCAAACCAAGAGAACAGTTAATGCTGCGGGCAAACAGTTTAAAGAAGGCAGTGAGGCAAATCATTGAACAAGCAGAAAAAGGTGAACATCAGTAAGGGTTTACTTGTTAACCATAGAGTGTCACTGTTTCTGTTGCATAAAGTTCCATTGTTAATATTTGATTCCCATATTCTTACATAAATGCAGTAGATGGTTGTTATAAGCTGTCTGGCAAGACATGCCATGTGTTAGAATACTCCTATCCTATATATATAGAGAGAGAGGGAGAGGAGTATTCTGTCTGTCTGTATCTTTATACCATATTCATTCCTGTGCTATCTGATAGACAAGATGGAGTCCTTAACATGACATTTGTTTGCTGCCAAAGGGAGTAGCTAGTGGAGATGTACTCAACAATGTAAGAAATCTCTACCAAGTACCACTTTCTTTGCTCCTTTTGTCATATTGGTCTGAATTCCTGAGAGGAGTACAAGCACGTATGCTTTGGGTTTTGTTTTTTAAATTTGCAGAAATAAATGGCATTCCTATTTTTTTTCTTAATCTTGCACTAAAACTACTTTCTAAATTTATAGTTACTGAATTCATTTTCTTATAGAAAAGTCTTATGGTGTAATTTAGCTTACAGGAATATTTTTCTTTAAAAATGAAGAAATTGGATGCCAAAATTGGGTGAAAGTAGCAATAAGATTGCATAGTTGATCACCAGAAGTCAGGGACCCACTTCTCCAGGTGCAACATGTGTACAGCTTCCATAGGTGTCAGAGGGATTAGCTTGCATGCAGCGGCTGGGAAATCAGGCTTCTTAGTGCTAAGTTTTGCCTTCAACAGTAGTGTTAATTTACCTGTGTACACATAGGCACATATATTTTCTGTTCCTATTTTTCTGATTAAATGTGTAGCTTCATATGTTGTATATCAGCAAATGTTTACTTCAAAATGGACAGGATGTGACAATGTCTGAGTGTTCTCTTCAGGTTCCTCATAGCATAGGTAGGCTACATTATATAACTATAATTCAGAGTTTCATTTATTTAAAAGTAAAAGAGAAAACTTTTGTTTACAAAATTAGTGAGGTTTACAAAAATGTACTTGTAGCAATGCACCTGCTTTGCACTGAGTCTCACAATTACTGTGGGTATTTGTGAATGCAGGTGGCCAGCTTTACATAACTAGCCTTAAGCATGCTCAGACACTATACCTGATTGTATGCACAAATTAAGCACACAGTTGTGTGCATGTAATTTGAAAATTAGACCCAAAATGTATTCTCAGAATATACAGTGATATTAGAAAATTTGACCCAACTATATAGTGTATAACTGGGCTAAATGGGATTTCTGATGTAATATGTTTTGTTTACTTTTGTAACTCTTCTCCTTCAGAAAGAAAAGTACTGAAAATTATCAGCAGGAAGCTTTGCCAGACCATCATAGAGTTCCATTTTTAAAGTATTATTATCGATATGGTGGTGAATCACCTCTCAGTTAATTTTTTTCATTATCACTGGCAGAGGATTGGTAAACTGCTCTTGAACTGATTAGGCAGAACGGTCCTTTTCTTAATATCTGTATGTCCTAAATTAGTGCTACAGAAGTAGGATGTTAATTTTCTACAAAAGCTTTACATATGTGTATTTTCTCTGAAGAAATTTTAACTATTTTTCCTCCTGCTATTCAGTTGTGGATGAACAGAATGCTCACACTGAAGAACAAGTGAACCAATCCCCTATAGAATATAGTAAGGAATTGGATGAATCCAAAGAAGAAGAAAAAGAGGAAGATACAAAGGAATATGAATCTCCGACAAGTAAGTAAATCCAGAATAAAATTCTTTAAAACTCTATAGAGTATTACTTCTATTATGAAACCAAAGTAGTGACTTCATAGTTAAACTGGTTAGACAGTTTCCATTATTAGCCTGATTCTGATGCACATATACACCCTCCACTTTTTGGGAAAAAAAGTCGTCTTTGTGAGTAAACTGTCCTATATATCTCTCGATAGCAGCCATCTTGAACTTCACCTGGCTTCACTTGTAGTGGCTCTTGAAACCGGTATGAAGCCTGAAAGTGGGGCTCAGTGTTGTAAGCTTTGATTGTTGTTTTTGCAAAGCTTATAACTTCTTTGAGGTATCGTATGGTTCTGTTCTGTTGTTTTGACACCTTCCTGAGAAACAGCAGAGTGAAACCTTCCTGCACCTGATATAAGTTGAAAAGATCAGTGCAGGTTTATATGAGACAATCATCTGTTAGAATTCGTGTTCTCAACAGGTCAGATTTTAGTTTCAGATGGAAACTGCTGATAGTTTTTAATCCATAGGTGGGAGGCGGGTGAGTTTAATATGATGTTGGAACCTTAATTGTTAATATCCTGAATTTCTGGCTTTTTTTTTTTTAAACTATAGCATTCTGTTAATGCTAGTTAATGGATGCAACATTCACAACCCTAACTTTTATTTTTTCCTATGTGGGTATCTTTCCAAACCTTTGTTTCTCTATGTGGTATTTGGGCAGATGACATGCTAAGAATTCAGAATGTGCCCTTTGGAGTCTGGGCCATATTCATCTACTTTGGTATCCTTACTAGGACATCATAACTATATAACAGAAACCTGATTTTATGTGCTAGATCTGTATTGTTGTTATATATTTTAAAGAGGGAACAAAATGTTACTGAAATTGGCACAAACGGCAATAAATAAGTATGCACTTACCAGAGAGGCTAGGGTTTTGAAGGACTGAATGGGCATGGAAACGAACTTGTTCCGTGTAGGTGGTTCCTTTTAAAGCAGGGTTAGAGCACAAAGAAGGGCTAATGTGGGAAGCTTCTGTTCCTGCTGCCTGTGCTGAGCCCTTTTGAGAGGATTTCAGACTCTAAGGCTGGAAATTTTTATGACCATTACGTTTAAAGTTTAATTATAGTTGTCAAGGCTGAATCCCAACTCTGTCACTTTGAGTGTAGGAAGTGAAGCCCTCAAGGATTTTAAAAATTAATACTTGCCACTCCAGGCTTGTATTAAACTCCCATGGTTACAGCTTCTCTCTGACCTTGGCTTGGTAAACGCTGCCACCACCCATGTGCAAAAAAACCCCCTTTGAACTGAGGAGGGAGCACTTGGAAATTCCTTCCTGTGGGGTACCCTCAAGCTATTTCACACACCCCTCCCCGCCCCTCAGGGAAGAGCTGAGAAAGAAAACAAAGGAAATTAGCTGTGGCTACCGGCTAATCAAACCACATGCACAAACCTCTTAGGACACCAAAAATCCAGTCTGTTCTTAAAAAAGGTAAATTTTATTAAAAACAAAAAGGAAAAAATTACGTCTGGAACTTAGGCTTTTGCTAGATTTTAAAAGAGCAATTCCAAAAATCAAGCACCCAAAATAGCTTTCTTGGGGTTACAAGCAAACAAAAGCATCTGTGGTTAGCACAGAGGGGTCCACAAGCCAATAATAAATAAAAGAAATAACCCTAATCACGTCTAGCTAAACATTCTGATCTACTTACACATTTGGAGTTCAGATAAGTAGTTCTAGGCATGATCTGATGATTTATGATCATTCTTGGCTTAAGCTACTTATAGCATGGCTGTTCTGATCCTCCAGCCCAGAGAACAACAGACAAAGGGAAAATTTATTTTCCAATTTTAAAAAGTTTTACCTTCCCCTTGGCTCTTTTGGTCAGGTGCCCACTTTTTTTTTTTTTTTTTAACCTGGGGGACTTTTTAACCCTTTACAGGTAAAGCAAGTAAAGAACAGCTACCAAGAGGGATTTTACAGCTAACTGGTTGGCTGTGTGTCCATCAAAGGGAGCTATCGCCCGCCTTTATTTATCACAATAATAAAGAATGAAACTTAGAATTTTATTTTACTTATATTGTTAATTAATTGTTGGTGATTAGGTATTACCTTTAGAATGGGGATGTACCATGTGCTGGGGCTCCCCATTGCCATACTTGAACAGAAATGGGCTGAGTTGAATTATTTGGAGGTGGACAAGCCAAAGAGTCTGTTATGTTAGGAAAAAATATTTTTCTAAGAAGTCTCTGCTTCATATACAGAAACTTGTGCTGAATTTGTTCTTCCACAAATTCTGCTCTTAAAATAATGGAGGGTTGCATATCAGAACCACAGTATTTAAAAATAAATACGTAGACCTTTATTTAAAACAGCATGTGCAGAGTTGAGCATCCTCATTATAATAACATCCTCGTTATTGCAAAAAGAGAGAGACGAAGCTTAACCTAACTTTGTGGTAGTTTGCATTTGCTGATTTCATGGCCGATAAACATTTCTGTTAGATAGGAATAGCCAACAATACTGAACTTGTTTGTGCATCAAATAACCATTGCTTCCTAGAGTAATACTAGTGTACTTATTAGGAAGTTGTATCAGTATTCATACATCTAATGTGTGAAGTGGAGTACATGTTAATATTGTCAGTGGGAGATGGGTATTTCAGGAGAAACCATGAAACATTAATTCAATTACCTGCAATGAAACATCGGTTTTACTCATGAGGACTGTGTTCGTTTTTATCAGATCAAAACTTTATTTTTATTGCAGCTTATCCCCATGAGTCTCATCTGTCAAATAAAGAGCAGCTGTTCTGCTGATTTTTCTTTTAATGCTACTGCCTTGTTCCTGAGTACCGAGAAAACGAGTTGTAAGAATAGCACTGTGAATTTTTGAGGAGCATTATGCAGAGTGAAAGATAATTGTGTTCTGAGTATTATTTGCTAATCCTCTGAGATTCTTCCTCAGTTGCTTTATGAAAGTAGTATTTTCCATGCATTAATTACCTTAGTCTAAATAGATAATAATGTTTAATTAGATAAAATTTGAATGTCATTTTCCATCTGTATTTCTGTTAGCTCCCTAATACTTAAGAATGGTGTTTTGTCATACACACGAGAATCATGTTTTTGTGTTGATATTATGTCCTTCAACATCATCTCCTTATAATGTCTGTAGTTAATTTGTGAATTCTTAGAATTGAAAGCCAGAAGGGACAGTTAGATGACCTAGTCTGACTTCCTGTGTATCACAGGCTATAGAGCCTCACCCAATTACCCCTATGTTGAGCCCAATAACTTGAATTTGACTCAAGTATATCTTCTGGAAATGTATTTAGGCTTAATTTTTCAGGATGCTGGAGAACCATCACTTAATTGGTAGTTTGGTCTAATGCTTAATCACCCCTCACTGTTAAAAAATTGTGCTTTATTTCTAATCTGAATTTGTCTGGCTTTAACCTCCAGCAGTTGGTTCTTGTTATAACTTTCTCTACTAGATTTGATACCCTTTACATTCTCCATGTGAAGGTACTTACACTCCATAATAAAGTTACTACTCAGTCTTTGTTTGATGAGCTAAACAGATTGAGTTCTTTGCGTCTCTCACAGTAAGGCATTTTCTCCAGCCCTCAAATAATTTTTGTGACTCTTTTCTGCACTCTCTTCAGTTTGTCATCATAATAATTCACCCATATGAAATGCAGGACATTTTAACATTGTTCTGTTTGTAATGTGCAAGATTATATTAACTGTTGACTTTTTATAGTATATTTTCTGTGAACTTTTTGAAACCTTGATAGTGCAAATGGTGAAAGAAAATGTTCAGGTCAGCTGATTTCCGTGGGTTTTTTTTCTTTTCCGAGTACATGGAGGTCAGCATGGTTCAGGCCATCAGAAGTTGAAGTAGTTTGGACATGTACAGTAAACTGCGGAGGAGATGACCAAGAGCTATCAGGAGTGTGATCATCTTCTGTCTATGCAGGCACACAGAAGTGCTATGCCAAATGCCAATAGGTGTTACAAAATTGCTCTTACCAAGATCACTAGTGACCTATTCCTGGCCATGGCTAAGCGCCTCTTTTCCATCCTTTCATCTTTGATCTATCCACTGTCTTTAACACTGATAGTTTGATGGACTACTCAGCTCCTCTACATAGTGTGATGTCTTATTGATCCATTCTCCTCCATTCTATTAGCAGTTACTTCTGCTGATCGCTTCCATGAGTTTGTGGTCTTTGTGAAGGGTCAGCTCTTGACTGGTTTCCCTTACCAAGCCTTTTGATATCAAGAGACGGGACCTCAAAAGGCTTTCTCTCCCCTGTTGAGTTCAGTTTGGTTTTGGACGAGGAAGGTCAGTACTTCTCTGATTTCCCAGAAACTCAATACCTGGAAGCTCTCTTGCCCCCACATCCTAGTTACTTGATACCACTGTTGGCAGCCACTGTCAATGGCTAACTTAGGGATTTTAATACAATAATTTTAATCACTGTCAATGATTAACTTAGGGATTTTCTACACAGGAAGTTGTACCAGTATACAGTAAGTACTGTATGAATTTAAACTGCTACAGTTATACTGGTATAACTCTCCAAGAGGAAACTTTTATTCTGTAAAACTGTGCCTTTTTTCTCATTTATCTTTATGTTGTTTTAGAAGCAGTTTAAGCTAAAATGGGAAGAGCCACTCTTATTTTGGAATAAGAGTGTCTTCATGGGGACTCGCAGTGGTTTAATTGTATCTGTACAATTATACCAGTATAACTTCACGCTCCGGGCCGTGGGACATGCCGCAAGTCCACGGGTTTAAGGCTTGTGCCACATGCCGCAAGCCTATGCCAGTTAGTGACCCCCATGGCTCGTGTCTATGTTGCCTGGGGGAAGAACATCAAACTGAGCGGTGTAAGATTTGCAAGGCGTTCAAGCCAAGAACAAAGAAAGAAAGAGACTTTCGTTTAAAGTAGTTGTTGATGGAGGCTGCATTACAGCCACCAGACCCAGAGCGCCCGGCGTCGGCTC